TTGTCAAAAACGCAAGTTCCCCGACATCTGCAAAGCGATAGTAAAGGAGTTGAATTTGGACTCAGTACTGGTAGAATGCGTCGTTTTGTCGACCATCGCGAATGTCCCAGCAATTCGTCTTTTGTAAAAAGTAGGTAGCCCAAGAAATCCTTATGTTTTGAATTCCAACTGTTCTTATCAATTATAAGTGATACTCCTTTATATACGCAAACAAATAAGTAAATGTTAAGAGTTCCAGCGCTTCTGACCTTTGTACTTGTAAAGGAACTATATCCGCAACATGACTGTTCATTTTCCATGTTTCCGCGCCCGATGTATGTACAAAAACGGATCCAGTCAACCACGGTTCAACATTTCGGGAAGCTTTGTCGCGCTTGCATGTTCTTGAAAGATGGACAAACATCATAAAAAACTTCTCCTTTTTTGCACTTTGAACAAATTAAATTCATTTCAGTGATTGGAACTGAATGTGCACAGGTGTAATTTCGATCTGAGTCTGTGCAAAGAAGAACAATTAGTTTTCTTGAGAATAAGCAATCAAGTTTTAACCTCAAAGCATCTCTTTAAAATCAATCCCCAATTAAAAATATCCTAAATATCCATATACAACAAGATTAGAATAATTTATGATATTCACGCAATATTTGGAGCGAAGGGTAAGGTAACGCTGGTATCGAGTGAGAACGCAGCAAGATACGGATTGGCAAGAAAAGACGAGACTCAAAAATTCGGATGGTGAAGATTCTAGGACCAGTCATATAATCTGATATATAGGAATTTATAAGTTGTTAACACTGGTGCAAATATAAATACAGAAAAATACTATACTGGAACTCTCAAGTCCTTCAAACCTAAATATTTATTGTGAGCTGTGCAACGGAGATTTGTAGAAAACGGAAATTCAAGGTATTCTGCTACAGGAAGTAAGCAATATCTATGCTATTGCAGGTCCAGCATACTCTCTTATGACTAGGAGAATGATTCAGGTGATAACGACATTATAACCGAAAATATGCAGAATACATGTAAGAGATCTTTTTGCTAGCTTTTACTCTGATGGGGAAAAGTTGCGCAGGGAACCTATTATTGTAATAAAGGCAGCGCAGCCTTCGTTTCGCGGAACTACGACATGAAGTGCTTGAGGAGTTTTAATGGATTCACACTATCTACCAGAGCTTCACAGCAGAGTCAACACTTTCCAGGTCGCAATTAGGTTCAAGAAGTAGCTGAGGATTCAAGATAATGATGAAGATAAAGCTTCAAGAACCCCGCTAAGCTTTCGTCAAAGAAAATACATGTCGAGATGCCTCCCACTTAAGAACATCCTCTCTGAACAAAAATGCTATGAAGGCCCTAAAAGAGGAGGTCTCTAGCTGCGTATCTAGTCAGTTCCAGAAAACAGTGAAAAGATGGCTTGATTTTTGAAAACGTCATCAATAACGGGAATTTCATTATCCAATACAATTATTCATTACATACAGAGAAGGCTGACTATTCGATAAAGGCTACAAAAGCATAAATTCATTTGAATCCATTTAATGAGTACAATGTAACATGACGACAC